ATGTCCAGTAAAAAAATTAAAAAAATCTAATTTTGTCCACAAATTTCATCCAAAATGCATTCTGCGACATGTCTCTGCTAAAAAAAAAATCCCAAATACATGTAATTAATTGTTTTACGTGAAAGTTTATAGCGATTAACAAATGGCGGGAAAGATACTGGATTTTTTATTTTATTTATACTACTAATAATGGTTGAGCGATCAGCGACATATTGCGGCGAATCACGCGACATATGACGGCGACCAGCGACTTATGGCGGGACTGCGGGACTGTGGCGGACATTTTGACACTTGGGGGGGGAACTAGACTTGGGGTGTGGTCACTGACATCCCCAGTGACACCAATACAGTGATCAGTGAAAAAAAACCCCACTGACACTGTTACTAATGGCATTGGGAGGAAGGGGTTAACATTTTTAGTGTTCACTGTTTGTGAGGGGAGTGTTTTATACTAGGGGGAAGGGGGTGTGTGTGCTGGAGGGGGGGGAGGGGAGGTGGGGAGCTAATCGAGGCAGAGAAACCCTCTGCAGCTTGTCAGGAGCTGAGCAACTGACAGATAACAAGGCTGTGTGTAAACAATGCAGCCGTGTTATCTGTGAGTGCTCAACAGCTCATCGCGGCCAAAAAGCCGGTAATCACTAGGCCCTGACCCAGCGGCTGGGACCCGCTGATGACACCCGTGGGACAGGAAGGGGTGCGTGCACGCGCCTCGCGTGCGCCCCCTCCTGTTTTTTTGCAGAACCACTTTTTAAAACGTGGTTTTGCCTGTGAGTGCCGCCCGCCCTGCCACCGTATTATCTACAGTGGCTGGGCGGCAAGTGGTTAAGGAGGGGGTCCTTGTTGATGGTAATTTAGAAAAGTGTTCTGATACACACTATGATCTTTAAATCCTATTCTAATATTTTTAAATGTTCCGCTATACGTGTTTTTAATGGTCTTTTTGTTCTCCCGAAAATAATCCAAAATTACATGAACATTGTAACAAATATACTACATGGGTGGTGTCACAAGTAATAAATTCCGATATAGTGAATTCATGCTCCACATTCACAACAGTGAAAGTAGTAGTCAATGTTTTGCTATTTCTAACAATCCGACAAGCACAACATTTTGCTGCATGTTTTAAACCCCTTATAATGAGGGAACATAGAAGAAAAAAAAAATGTAATATTGGGGGCATCTATTATTTATTTCCGAACAGTTTTTTCCCCAAAATTTGGGGATCTTCTATAAATAAATTTAGGTGTCACTGGTAAAATCTTTCCCAATGTTTTATCCATCAACAAAATATGCCAATGCTTCTTAAAAATATGTTTCTACATCCTTTAATTGACAGTGAAAGTCAGACAAGAAACTCCATTGATGTTTATCAATTTTGACCTTTTGTTTATCCATTAAACGTTGTTCTCTAGGTATTTCTATAACATCCCTCTCAACCTGACTTAAAAAGTCCTGAGAGTATCCCTTTTTCTTTAAACCTATTGGAAATGATTTTAGCCTGTGAAGTATAATCACATACATCTGAACAATTCCTCCTAATTCTCATATATTGACCCCTAGGTATATTTTTTTTAACCACGTGGGATGGTGTCCACTTCTAATAGAAAGATAACTATTTCTATAAGTGGGTTTAAAATATACCTTTGTGACAAACCCATTATCTCTTCTCATGATGGTAACATCAAAAAAATTGATGGATTCAGAACTGAATTGATATTCTAATTTGATATGATTCTTATTATTATTTTAAATACAACATAAATTGATGCAATTCCCACATCCGATCCTCTCCCAGCTTAATAACAAGTCATCTATAAATCTTTTGTAGAAGATCAATTCATGCCTGCAATTGTAAAAGACAAAACCTGTCGTCCCATTCTGCCATAAATATGTTCGCTCAGCTGTTCATATTAACTATTGTCAAACCAAAAATAATTGTGTTTTAAACAAAAATCCAAAGCGTTCCCCCCAAAAACTTTTTGGATATCTGGCAGGAGGACAAGTTATGTTCTTATGTATTTTTGGAGGAGTGTATATCACAGGCAGTCTGCAACAACAAGGTACCAGATATTTTCTTTCTTTCTTATTTAAAACATGATTTTGATAACCCCACTTCACTAATAATTTGAGTTCATCCCTATACCTATGTGTAGGATCTTTCAATAAATTCTTATATAATTTGTCAACACGCAACATAGTTTTTAACTGTTGCATGTAGAAAACTTTATCTAAAATGACGACACCATCCCCTTTATCCGCAGGTCTAATTATAATGTCCTTCCTCTTTTCTAAGTCTTTAATCCCCTCCATAATATATGGGCCATTAATACGTTTCATCGGGTTAATTGATTCCAAATCTCTAATAATCAAATTTTTTAATACATCTATACATTGGTTAGCTACATTTGGAGGATTAAATGTGGATTTATTATGAAGACCACTATCTAAACAAATACCCTCTTCGATTTGTTTGACGTTAATTCTTGTATTAAGAAAATATTTTTTAAGATTTAATTGCCGTATGTATGTATGTACGTCTATATACACATGAATTTATTAATAGATTTTTTTTAGGAGCACATTTTAAACCCAAATTTAAAATATTATTTTCTTAGTGTCAATATTGTACTGCTTAAATTATATATTCCTGCATCTTTTACTCCATTCTCCGTTTTTTTTTGCACTGGACCCTCCTCCCTGCTCTACACCCTCTTGTTCTCTTTCTATATGATAACCCCTTCCTCGTCCCATTGGAAAAAACAGAGTAGACCGTCCCCTCATGAATCCCCTCTTTTGCCTCCCCTCCCTCCATATTAAGGTGCTGTGTAATAAGCGGTGTCATAGGATTCTTTTCTATAATACTCAAATGCTTGAAACCTATTAAAGGTAGGAACTTGATATTGATTTTGAGTATAATATGATGGCCTACCTGTGTGCCCTGAATTCCTCCATTTTGGTGAATAAGGCTCATTGTAATTATCAGAAGGGCGTCCACCACCCTGTTTTCTTGGAAAATAAGGAGGTTTAAATACCTGAGGGGTATCTCTGTCTCTCAGATCACTTGGGTTAGATACTAAATTTCCCTTACCTTTAATCACATTAACATTGGGAGGATTAGAATTTGTATTGCTCCCTTTAGCGGTAGATGGAGCACTATTAGATTGATTATTAATGGTTGCTGTAATATCATTTTGCCATATATAAACTTTTTGATTAGTAAAATCCATCAAATCTCTATTTAATTTTTTATCTTTCTTTTTTTGGGTATCTCTATCAATTTTCTCCAATTTTTTTCTTAATACTAGTATTAAAATCAATATAATCCTGAGAATCCTTAATAGGTTCCAGCTTTTTATGCAAATCTTTAATTTTATTTTCTAAAATATCCATCTTCCTTTGCTTTCTTTTGAGAATGAGTACCTGGAGCTCACAACCCAGTCTGTTAAAGAACTCCAGCCACTCATTCTCCCCAAATGGCGGGGATTAAATAGGGTTAGAGATTTATCAAAACGTGAGACCAAATGGATCTTTTTTCTTAAATCATTAACACCATACGGATTAAACGTTGAATTAGATTTAAATTGCTTCATTAGTGATCTTTGAAGTGTAGCTATAAGGTGAAACCCCAAAAATTAATTATTAAACTTAATTATTGTCAATAGATGACATAGCTATTGTCAGTTTCTAATATTTAATTTATTTATTTAATATTTCATTTTGTATGATTTTATAATTTTATATATATTACAGTTTAAGTTTATAATATATGGTTGTGTAATACGTTTGTAAAAGCCCAAAGATGTATGATATTGTATTTGTATCTATTAACCTCCTTGGCGGTATTCCCGAGTGTAGCTCGGGGTAACATTTCAGTACCAAGAGCGGTAACCCCGAGCTACACTCGGGAATACCATGTGGCGCTGCTCCGGCATTTGTTCTTCACTTACCTTACCCTGCGCTCCCGCGATGTGTCCCCTGCAGCGTCCCCGGCCATCTCCTCCGGCTGATGCCGGCATCCGGCTTCTGTGTCCTGTCCCTGTGACGTCGGGACGTACGGGCGCCGCCGCCGGCGGCGGCGGGAAATTTACAAATTTTAAAAAAATGTCATTTTTTTTTTTTTTACATTTTACATAGTAAAACATTGCTGTCTCAACCAATTTCACATACATTTTGTCCCTACTGCTTTGTCCTGTGCCCTGCCTGCATTTTGTCTGTTCTTTCTGCCTGGAAACTGAGAAATGTCCATGGCATCCAAAAAGCGTCCCTTTAGGTCAAAAGCGGTTTAGATCAGCTAGAGAACAGCGATAGTAAATCAGAACCACTTGCAGAATTGAGTGATAATGATTCGTGGGGAAATTCGTCATCAGACACTGAAAACGATTCTGCGACTTTGCTCAGCGATGTGCGAACTTGGCGCTATATTTCAAATTTCAGTGTTTTTGGTTTGATTATATTATTGAATTAAATGTATTATTATTATTATTTTTTAAGAGTATTTATGAATTTATAATTTATGATTTCATGTTTCAAATTTTATCCTACCCGGGATGTTTACTAGACTCTTGTTCGAACAGATTTCAGTGAGTTATTCCTAAAAATTACAGCCTACAATAAAAAAACTACATATTTCCATGCAAAATAATGGTACCACTTTCAGCATCAAAAATCGGAAAGAATCATACCGCCAAGGAGGTTAATAGATTAATATGTATTTATGCATTATTATGAATATTTGATATAGTTTGCCCTTAAACATGGCAACCATGGCGGGTTATTTCCACCAGGTTATGGGCATAATAATGAGGAGTTATAGTCAATTAATTAATAACAATATATGTTTAACGATATATGAATATACATGTGTAATAGGTTGGTAGATATTTAATAATATATATCATCTTATCCATGTCTGGCAGTGTGTTGTCGAGATATAGATATATACCGTATTTTTCGCTCCATAAGACGCACCTGACCATAAGACGCACCTAGGTTTTAGAGGTGAAAAACAAGAAAAAAAAAATATTCTGAACCAATGGACTGCAGACACAGTACAAGGGATGACCAGAGACTGCGAACACAGTACAGGAGATGACCAGAGACTGCGGACACAGTACAGGAGATGACCAGAGACTGCGACACAGTGCAGGAGATGACCAGAGACTGCGGACATAGTGCAGGAGATGACCAGAGACTGCGGACATAGTGCAGGAGATGACCAGAGACTGCGGACACAGTGCAGGAGATGACCAGAGACTGCGGACACAGTGCAGGAGATGACCAGAGACTGCGGACACAGTGCAGGAGATGACCAGAGACTGCGGACACAGTGCAGGAGATGACCAGTGACTGTGGACACAGTACAGGAGATGATCAGAGACTGCGGACACAGTGCAGGAGATGACCAGAGACTGCGGACACAGTGCAGGAGATGACCAGAGACAGCGGACACAGTACAGGAGATGACCAGAGACTGCGGACATACTGCAGGAGATGACCAGAGACTGCAGACACAGTGCAGGAGATGACCAGAGACTGCGGACACAGTGCAGGAGATGACCAGAGACTGCGGACACAGTGCAGGAGATGACCAGAGACTGCGGACACAGTGCAGGGGATGACCAGAGACTGCGGACACAGTGCAGGAGATGACCAGAGACTGCGGACACAGTGCAGGAGATGACCAGAGACTGCGGACACAGTACAGGAGATGACCAGAGACTGCGGACAGTACAGGGAATGACCAGAGACTGCGGACAGTGCAGGGAATGACCAGAGACTGCGGACAGTACAGGGGATGACCAGAGACTGCGGACAGTACAGGGGATGACCAGAGACTGCAGACAGTACAGGGAATGAGCAGAGACTGCAGACAGTGCAGGGAATGAGCAGAGACTGCAGACAGTGCAGGGAATGAGCAGAGACTGCAGACAGTACAGGGGATGAGCAGAGACTGCAGACAGTGAAGGGAATGACCAGAGACTGCAGACAGTGAAGGGAATGACCAGAGACTGCAGACAGTGAAGGGAATGACCAGAGACTGCAGACAGTGCAGGGAATGACCAGAGACTGCAGACAGTGAAGGGAATGACCAGAGACTGCTGACCTTTGGGGAGGGAGGGGGAGCGGGTACCTGAATTTGACAGTTACCCGCTCCCACTCCCGCAGAGTTGTCCTTCCCTCTTCTTCCCGGGCCAGCTTCTGTGACAGCCGGGTGCCCACTGCGCATGTGCGAGAAGCGCTGCGCTTTGTGAATGGCCCGGCGCCTTCTGGGACCTGTCATGTGTCCCAGAAGACACCGGATCATTCACAAAGCGCAGCACATGCGCAGTGGGCACCCGGCTGTCACAGAAGCCAGCGCGGGAAGACTGTGCAGCGCTGGAGCGAGGAACAGGTAAGGCCCTGCAGGAGACAACAGCTGAGCGGCCGGCCCGGTATTCTGACATGGTGGCCGCAAAAATACCGGGTCGGCCGCTTTATATTCGCTTCATAAGACGCACTGACATTTTCCCCCCTTTTTTGGGGAAAAAAGTGTGTCTTATGGAGCGAAAAATACGGTATATATATATAATATATATATGTATTAACATTGAATTTTGAGCTGGTGTGCCCTCAAATATGGCAGCCGCGGCGGGTAACTTCCGCCAGGTTATGGGCTGAATTTCCGTTTGTTAAAGTCAAGCAGTTAGCAATACTACATATTTACCATGCACCATATACAAACGGGGAGCCGCATCGCTTAGCCACTCCCTATGAATAAGTCCGGAAGTGATGAAACGCGTCAGTTTTTGGCTAAGCGAGAACCGGAAGTGCCGTACTTTGGAACCGGAAGTGACGCAAGACTGTCTGAGAGTGAGGACCGGCAGTGGTGAGAGCGTTGTGCAGTCTTCCCTCTCTGACATTACCTTCACAAAGGCAGATATATATCTTTGGGCTTATCTTGCATTTTTTTTTTTGTGAGTTTCCTTAAAGCATAGATTAAATGATTTTAAGCTATACTGCACCATGTCGGGTCTCTATTTCCTTTCTTTCACATGATATGGGGAGTCATTACCAGAGATTGTAGATCTGGAGTGTTGGAGCCATTCTGGGAGAGTTACTGTGGAGAGTCAGTTACAGAGGCTATTGATTTTGAGTGTTGGAACCATTGGAAAAATCGATGTATATGAGTAAACATCCTTGTCTGGAGAAATATATGTTTATACCAAAGCGATTTTTGCCAAACATGAGAATGGGAGACAAAGTTGGTGAGTGTATACCCTAAATGGGCAGCACAGCACTGTTTGGAAATTTATTTACAGTCACGTGGTGATTTTATTTGAAATTCAACTCACATGGTGATTTCAAAAAGGACTTTATTGATGGACTTTTTGTTTGATTATTTTTATATGATTTACAGAGCGCTGCATATATATTTTGTTATTTTAGACTAAATGTAATGCCTGGTCTTCCCTTCCTGATTAGTGCTATAGGCCAAGTAAATCTTTTGATATTCCTTCCTAAGGTTTTTTTACTTTTTTTGACGTACGCCAGTACAGATCCCACAGTCCTTTTTCCTTCGTGTGGATGGTATTGTCTCTGTGTTTGTCTGGGCTGGGAGGGCCCCTAGACTTTCTTGATCTACCTTGCACTTATTAATTGGGGCGGCCTGGCATTACCTAAGCTGCTTTTATATTTTTGGCCGCTGTTCTGGTCATGGTGCGCTGGTGGCTCTCCCGGCCTATGGATAATGCAGCGGTAGTCCTGGAGGCGGCAGTATTGGGCTCTTATGCAGAACTTCGTAAACCGGGTTCATAGAGGACCAAAGTCCAACCCAGCCATTACTACTTCCATGCTGACGACCCTTAAGGTGTGGAGACAGGGTAGGAATCAGTACAGTGTAAATAACACCTACTACCCTCACATGCCGCTCTAAGGCAATCCTGCACTCTCCCATCTGCACACAATACCGGATCCTGTGGTGAGGGTTTGGTGTGGCATCGAAACGTTGAGCCATATTATACCTTGTGGTGTCCTGCTCTCTTTCGATTAACAAAAACACAACCATGGCTTGCCTAACCAGATGTTTTTCTGGTTTCTACAACTGTGACATGCTTTGACCCGCCCAATTTTATTCTCCCCCTTACATACAGACTGACACTCTAAAAAAAACTTGTTGTTAATGGAGGACTTGCCTAAACCTTTATCCTCTCTAAATTCCTTGTTGCTACCCCTAGAATGCAGTCACTTTAAAATAAATAGCACGCAGACCATTCATCCCTTTCGGAGGATGATTGGGAGGATAGTCTTTTACAGTGCCTCCCTACCATGATCTCAGCCAGGGACTGATTTATACAACTAAAATGTATCCATAGAGTATATTACACGCCACGGCGACTGGCTACAATATATCCTGGTAGATCGGCAACATTTCCTCATTGTGATATGGCGGAAGGCGTGTTTCACCATATGTTTTGGGAATGTTCGAAACTATGTTCCTTTTGGACCGGGGTATTAGTTACTATTAACGCTGTGAGTAAACTGTCCATTCCCATGGATCTGATTTTTATGTTGTTAGGTCTCATTGACCTCGTGGAAGCATCTAAGCATAGCAAGCTGTTTGTCTTTTATTCTCTCTATTATGCTAGAAGAGAAATTTTGTTGAGATGGAAGCTGTCTACTCCGCCCACAGTTTCGGGTTGGAAGTCGGCAATCAACGGTGCACTTCCCTTGCATAACCTTACATATATGAGTCGCAACTGTCCAGCTAAATTTGATGGAATATGGGCTGGGTGGCTGGAGGCACAGGGCCTTACGGTATAATAATTGGTGTAATCACTGGTATTTCTACTTGAGGTTGTGACAAGTTTGTATTATTTGTTTGACTTGTTACTATTCGTGTTACCAACCTTCTTCTCCACCCTCTCCCCCCCCCCCTTTCCCTTCCCGCTCTTTTTTTCTTCCTGCTCCGGCTCACGCCCTATAATTTTCTCAACTCTTTTTTTTCTTGTGGGTTGTTACCATCTGAACCGTAATATGTATGCTATTTTGACCCTGCTAGGGACAACAGGTTGATTCTGTAAGATTTTCAGCATTGGAAGTTTGTATGTACTGCTTATCTACTATATGCCGTGATCTTGACTGTTCTCGTATACCTTGGTCTTTCTACTTTTGTATGATTTTAATAAATCCAACTGTTAAAAAAAAAACACACACACTCGTAAAAAAAAATAAAAGGCATGTACACAAATGCTGCAACTGGAACTGCTGATACATGAGGAAGATTTCAACTTTGCAAGAGTTTCAGAAACCTGGCTTGACAGCTCACATGACTGGCTTGCAACCATTCAGGGGTATTTCCTGTATCAGAGAGACAGGGTATATAGAAGAGGGGGGAAAGGGTGTGCCTGTATATCAGATGGGATTTGTTAGTGAACATGATATACTTGGATTTTGCTAAAGTGTTTGACACAGTTCCCCACACATGACTAATGTGTAAGGTAAACTCTACGGGCTTTAAAAATCCATATGTAAATGGATACAAAATTGGCTAAAAGATTGTATTCTAAGAGTAGTGGTTAATGATTCATACTCTGAATGGTCTAGGGTTGTCAGTGGTGTACCCCAAGGTTCAGTTACTTTTTAATATATATTAAAAATCCCATTTCAGTCTTTGCAGATGACACCAAACTGTGCAGTAGAATAACGTCCTTACAGGATGTCTTCAACTTACAAGCCGACCTCAATGCACTGTTTAATTGGGAAACTATGTGGCAAATGAGGTTTAATGTTGGTAAATGTAAGGTTATACACTTGGGGGCTAAGAATATGCATGCATCATACATACTAGGGGGAGTACAACTGGGGGAATCAATGGAGTAGAAGGATCTGGGAGTTCTGGTAGATCACAAGCTTAATAATGGCATGCAATGCCAAGCTGCGGTTTCTAAAGCGAGTAAAATCCTCTTGTATTTAAAGAGGTATAGACTCCAGAGAGAGATATATCATATTACCCCTGTACAAATCATTAGTAACACCTCATCTGGAATATGCAGTTCAGTTTTGGGCACCAATTCACAAAAAGAACAATGGGGAACTTGAGAAAGTACAGAGAAGGGCAACCAAACTGATAAGAGGCATGGAGGAGCTCAGATATGAGGAAAGATTAGAGGAACTGAATGTATTCTCTCTTGAGAAGAGGAGATTAAGGGGGGATATTATCAACATGTATAAATACATCAGTGGTTCATATAGAGAAGTCGATGTAGAGCTATTCACCCTGAGGTCATCACAGAAGACAAGGGAGCACTTTTTACGTCTGGAGAAAAGGAAACTTAATCTCCAAACACAGAAAGGTTTCTTCACAGTGAGAGCTGTGAAAATGTGGAATACACTCCCTCAAGTGTTGGTTCTGGCCAGCTCAGTGGATTGCTTCAAAAAGGCCTGGAATGTTTCTTAGATACACAGAATATAACTGGACACTAACATTTATAGGTAAAGTTGATCCAGGGAATATCCGATTGGCTCTCAGGGGATCAGGAAGGAATATTTTTCCCAGCAGGAGCAAATTGGATCATGCTTTTGCCTTCCTCTGGATCAACTGTGGGTATAGGATTATAACTTTTTTTTTTTTTTCTGTGGTTGAACTGGATGGACTTTTGTCTTTTTTCAGCCAGACTAGCTATGTAACTATGTGAAAATGGCAGCAAATCAGGGCAATGTTGTTATAATGGGAACTTCAATTATATTGTCTGGGCTGATGGAACAGCTCACTTCTCTAAGGCTTGTCATTTTTTTAATGTCTTGCAGGACAATTTCATATGTCAACTGGTGGATGCCCCAACTAGAAATAATGAACTGTTGGACCTACTATTCACAAACAACACAGAACAGATTGCAGATGTGGACATAAGGGATCATTTTGGAAAACTGCGTTCTCAAGTTAATTAGGTTCACTGTAAATCATAAGGGAAGGAGACACAAAGGTAGGACAAGGACATTTAATTTCAAGAGATCCAACTTTAGTAAACTGTGCTCCATATTACAAAACAATAAATGGGATGATATTCTAGGAACAAAGAACACTGAGGAAAAATGGGAGTGCTTTAAGAATATATTACATAATAGCATTAGCCAGTATATTCTAATGGGCAGCAAATATAAAAGAACTAAAGGTAAACCTGGGTGATCAAATTCTAGCGTAAAACGGCATATGAAAGAGAAAAAACTGTCCTTTAAAAATGATAAAACTAAGAGGTCACCATCAGCATTTAAACACTACAAAGAATGCAATAA